ATTATGAAAAATGGTGTTTTACTTCTACAAATTTTCGAAATGAGTATTTGCAACTTCATTTATCAAGTCCATCTAGGTTATGTACAGATGTTGTTGATAAAGCACCAATTGTGGTTTCCGGTTCGCCCGTGTTGTAACCTAAGATGCATTTGAGTTCATGTTGAATCTGAAAATGAAAGTATGATAAGTGAAAGAGCTCTCTTTTTAACATCAGCGTTGAAGAGAAGATAGATGACTGCGTTGATTCCACCATTCAAAATGAAAGCAAGAGGTGTTATAAGATGTATCTCTGGTGCTTCGATCTCCAGAAGAGGAAAAATACAAAATGCCAGCCATGAAATCAAATATGATAAAAAAACAAAACAGCACTGAATGCTCATTCTGAAAGAGAATGCGATTGAGAAGATATGGAATGAGGTCTCACCTTATATCTTTAGGTGTGACGCTTGTAGTGACATTCGTTCTCAATTTATAAATATGATGGAAAGTCTGGAATATAATTTAAACAGAGGGTAGGAAATCTGTTCAAACCATGATATATGAGATCAGACATAGGGTGCTACAAATTACATCATTAGGTACGCCAATAAACATCTCTAATACATGAGTACTGTTTTTGGTGTAATTGAGAGAAGTATATCCGTACATTCGGTAATCCGGAATGAGTCTTCAACAACACATAATGAAACAGTCAGATGCGAAACGTACTTGCAGCAATAACCTGAGTGTTGATATACTGCAGTTAATAAAACAGAAAGCATAATGTAGAGTACAAACAGCTTAAGGATGCGTCCCACTGTGAACAAATTATGTTTCGGATACATAATTATATGGAACCTTCGAGAGGATTATGAGCTCAGTATATCCAAACCTACCTTGAAATAGCTAGGAGAATTTGGATCCAGGATGTAAGGAACCAAAATTCAAGTGCTAATGTTCCAATAAATACTACTCCTTCTGAGTATTCACCTCCTGAGAATAACCAACTCTTCAATATTCGAATGAAAACTCTCAATAAGTCTTAATATATGAATACCCCCAGCATGACAGAAGGACCCATATAAAACAAAAAGACAAAAAGCTGGAATGTATCACATATCATGTTGAACCCAGTAATCAAAAAAACTGGATTATTCTTCAATAAATGCAGATTTCCTCTTAAAAATGAATTTCTGAAGTTTGGAAAGAAAGACCGAATGTTAACCTTCTGATACAGTACAGGCAAACGGAATTGCAAATTATGAAACATGTCGAACCTAAGCAGATCAACAGACCAATAATTGAATGAAATCTACTGTTTTCCATATTCCAGAACCTCTTCAATAGATGAAAGATACACTTTCTACTCTCACAAGGCAACTGAAAACGATTACAAACAC